CCCCTTTGGAAACCGTTTCATCTCGCTCGCACCACTTGTGTTTACTGCCTAGCTAGTCATGTGACGTCACGGCGCTATTTTTAGCAGGGCTTTCCCGAACAATTCAAGTGGTCAAACTGGACATTTGGAACGGACGATGAATATGGGGATAGCGAGGTAACATAAGTGGAAGTGCATACAATACATACATTCATTTAAAAAAAAAACGCCTTTTCACGTGATGTCCCTTTAAATGCACTATGTCTCAAATAACTACATTATATAAATATCACATTCAACAATGCTTTCCGAGGGGTGAAAATATGCAATATCGCCCTCTCATGAATGTGATTTTTATTTTATTATACCGAGTGTCATGTTTAGGTGTTTCACCACTTCACCATTTTTAAAATTCCTTGTGTTGATTTGACATAAACCAAGACTTCATCTCAACAGTTGTCGAATGAACTAACCATGAATGTGATTTGATAACACCCTGGCACTAGGACGAACCGTGAACGCATACGTTTTGGCGCATGTAACAGTTTTTGGAATAACACCCTGGCACTGGAACGAACCGTGCACGCATACGTTTGGCGCATGTGATATTTTTTGGAATGTTACCCTGTCTTCTTTATCTTTGTAAAACGAGCAAGTAACATTGAAAATGTTCACATCTTTTTAACAGAAGGTATAATAATCCAAGTTTAGTAAGTCTAACACTTTAAATGTTTAAAATAAAGCATAAAACATACAGCTAAACGCAAAAACTTAACATTGAGTAAGATGTTGTGAAAGTCACTAGACTGTAAAATGTAGGGCACATTCAGCAACTGATGCATGGATTGAGGTGAAGTATATACGATGCATGTATGGTCCAAGTTGCTGGTGTAGCACTTATACTCTTTGAGAAACAGAGCTAAACGCAAAAACTTAACGTTGATGCAGGCGCTGGCGGAAAAGTAACACCTTACCACTGCCTCCGCAACATCCGTCGCAGGCGAGACAATATCACTTCTCTTACTACCAGGAACTGGCCTAACATGATCACAGAGTCACTTAACGCTGCCACAAAATGTAACGTACGGGCAGTCACCCATCCAGCTTGACGTTGCTGAACTGGTGAGCGGGTTCCCGGGTTATACGCATCGCTGGAAAAGCTAGCTTGCCAGTATGACATTATTAAAATATTTCTCCCTCAATTTCCTTAGCTGTTACAGTGTCACCCTACCATGTCCAGGTTAAGACCTGAGATGTATTTTTTTCCACTAAGTATGTGTCGCCTAAGAGACTAAAACTACCTTAAGCATTAAAGATAATTTCATTTTAAATGTTGCTGTTGCATTGTCATCTCAATACAAGCTGATAATTACACCAATCTTTCTGTTTTATTGTGAGATCTGGGAAACTTACATATTTTCCATTGAGAACATTGCCCAAATTAAGCCTCCCCCCCAAAAAAAAAATTAAAACCTCTCCCCTCATCTGTCGACACCATATTTATTACTATAAACAAGAGGCCCATGGGCCTTAACGGTCACCTGAGTTCTGATATATTTATACAGAGAGTTGATTTTTGTTTTTAAAACATGAACAGAAAAATTATTCAAAGTGACAAAAAACAATAAAACCACCTTATTCAATATCTAGCATACAGATTTAAGAAATTTTAGCACACTGACTCCATTGGGCCATGCCCTACAGTTCTTGGGGGTAGGGCTGGCTCAAAATTTTCAAAGTATTAAACTGTCAACTCAGGGTTATAATTCCATTCAAGTTATCAACATGTCATATCCAAAATATCATTTGCCAATATAAACCATCATAAATGTTGCCACCTCCTCCCCCCTGGTCTTGAGAAGAAGATTTTGAAATTTCAGTCAATTCAACCCTTTTGGCCCCGCCCCTCAGGCCCCTGGGGGCTTGGGACTAAACCGGCCACTATTTTTGTTGACCTTTGTCCATGGAAGGTCCCTGCAAAAATTCATTGAAATAGAATGTACTGTCTATAGTAAAGTTTACCCCCTCCCCAGAGCAAAACGTGAGAGCCCAGGGTCATGAAATTCACCATTTTGGTTAAGTACCTTAATACCCTTCCATCTATGAAGAGAATGTGATTCTACCATATCTGGGTCTTGAGAAGAAGATTTTGAAATTTCAGTCAATTCAACCCTTTTTGGCCCTTGTGACCCATCAGCCCCTTGGGGTCAGTCAGGGCTGATATGTGCATACCATCAAACTGCTATCCAATACTGATAATGCTAACCCAAATTGAATTACTTCCAATGGAAATTAAACAAATGTTGGTCCAAAATGTGATTTCCCTATATAAACTATAGTAAAGTTTACCCCCTTCCCAGGGGGAAACATGAGACCCCAGGGTCATAAAATTCCCAATTTTGGTAAAGCACCTTAAGATTTTTGAAATTTTAGTCAATTTCATTCTTTTTGGCCCCTGACCTTCAGGCTCCCGGGGGTTGGGGACCATATAATTCACAATTTTGGTTGACCTTTGTCCATGGAAGGTTTCTGCAAAATTTCATTGAAATTGGTTCAGGGTTTTTGGAGAAGAAGTTGAAAATATAAATTGTTTAGGAACGCACGACGACGGACAAAAGGCGATTAGAATAGCACTTCAGACTTTGCCTAGGGTGACCTAATAAAGTGTACACTGAATACAAGAATCCCAGAGAAACTTTATTGCCCACACAAAGAGATGAGAAAATTATTTTTAAAAAAAGACTTATTTGCCAAGTTGTTATCCTGAGACAGGACCTTTTTGCTCAAATTTGCTTATTGGCACATTGATTTTCTTCGTTATGACTCAGACATTATGTCAAAACCTAGCCATTTCCATTATAACACATATATTGCATTGTTTAGTATAGAGAGGTTACCTGATCAGCAACGTAGACTTTCTGTTTGCCGTAAACCTTCTCTTTGATCTTCCCAGCCTCTGTCAGCCCCTCACACGCCTTCACCACAGCCTGGAAATAAAAAGTGTCGCTGTGTGTCAAAACTGAGCTCTCATAGCACCAGATCATCATCAGTCTCTCATAGCAACGAATCATCATCAGCCTCTCAGAGCACCGGATCATCATCAGTCTCTCATAGCACCGGATCATCATCAGTGTCTCACATATATCTCTGATTCATGTCATATCTCATATCTTATTGTAACATTTTATGTCTTTCTCTTTGCTCTACCAGGTAATTAAAACAAATAAGATAAAGTCAACCACTGTAAAACAACCTCTATCTACATCTAATGAAACTTGTCATGAGTAGTAACAAAAGTTGAAACTTTGCATCATAAAATGCTGTTTTGTCATTATGTGTAATGTTGTGATATTGTTAGATTCCTGAAGCTGTAGATAAAATAAACTCTATAATGTAACGGGATATTTGTCTCAAACGAAATTAGATATTTTATATTTTCCAATTAAAATGTGCGAGAAAAAAATAAATTGCCTGTAACTGTGCGAGATCACGTTATCTCAATCTTGGGCCAAGTTTATGTAATATATCCCAAGAATGGCTTACACCTCCTGTGGGGTTATGGTACAGAATCCTAGCCCTGGACTGAGATAACCTGATCTCGCTCAGTTACAGGTTAAAGATTTCATCCTCACTTGAGATCTATTGACAAATGATCTTAGTTTTCTATACCCACCCAAGATCAAAATCTACTGACTTCTAGCTTATATAGCTGACCAATAATTGCTAAATCTATTCTGTTCTGTTTTCGGGATGCTAAAAAAATCTTTTCTCCCAATTGGGAGATGACAATTCCCAAATTCAAAGAATTGGCCTTGAGCATCATCACCAAAACGCTTGCCAAGAGCCTTAGTTTCTTATGATCCCTGCATGGCCCAGAAACTTTTGAATGAATCATTGCCCACACAGCTAATAATGATTCCAGTACAGTAAACAAATAAAGCTGTTCTCCACATAGATATATCTTGTGTTAAGTACCAGTGTCAGGTAAAAGGGGGAGAACTGTATGTACAATGTAAAATACTCACTGTTTTACCAAATTCCTTGTGAAGATTGTTCACAATGTCTATAGCACTGTATGGCCTGTTTTGTCGATTTAGATAATCTAAAATTGCTTTCACCGCTGGAACAGTTGAATACAAGTTTTAACATTGATGAGTGAATAAAAAACATTCATATAACAAATCATTCATATTACTATCGACGTACAAATGTATATAGTACATGTATATATGAGTCTCTGATATTACCAATACTATATGCCTATTACATTCCCTGCAGTATGATATAACTGGGAGATTGTTTAACACTAACAGATTCATAAGTTAGGGTCAAAATGAGGAAGTACATATATAGTGAGGGGTAGCAGATACAGCTATGGAAGTGTTGTTATGCATGCTATATATGGGAAGGAAGCAGGGATCAATCTAGGTTTTAGGGAAAATTACTGTTTTTCAGATTGGGGGAAATTAAAAAATTTTGATACAAGACTCTAGCGTCATGAAGGTATAAAATGATAAATGTTTTGTCCGACATACATCGCAAATATCTTTTAAAGTTTGAAACACAGGAGATGGTACACTTAACAGCAGTACATTTCAAGTTTTAAACAATTTTAAGCTTAAAATTGTAGAATTTTTGTTAAAATTAAGTGGAGAAAATGTATATATGCAGTATTATGCATTTTAACTGTTGAACTTTAAAGAAAACATATACCGGTATAGGGGGAATATTTTGAAGACAAAAACGGCTATTTTCTTGTTGAAATAGGGGAATTTTGAAGCACACAAGGGGAAATTTAAAGAGCAGGGGAATTTTCTTCTGTAGGGGAAACTACCCTTAAACGGTAGTGAATCAAGTCTAGATTGATCACTGAGGAAGTTCCATTAAGTTTAAGCAGACGTAGATAATCTTAGAGTTTTGGAGGGACTCAGGTTGGAACCCTAGTGTTGCCGTTGCATTCTCTTTTTCGCCTGTTACAGTGGTGCCTGTGACCAACCCTTGTTTCAAGCATTTGGTGCCTATATGCTTGGCAAGTGGATACCAAAACCTCGGTTGTATAAGTTGTGTTTTCGGGGGTGTCTTCAAGGGCGAAGACTTAGAAAGAGGAGGGATGAATGTAGCAGAACTGGACTGGGTTGATCGCCAGCGACCAGATATATAGCTCAATTGGTAGAGCATACGTCTAGGCCTAGAGTTCGGAGGGTTCCGGGTTCGAACCCCGGTCTGGAAGTGCATTTTTACCTCTACTGTAACTTACACTTATATACATATTAATATTTTAATTAATAATAACCGTAATACAAAAAAATACCTATAATATGTTACATATTATAAGGTGGGTTTTTTGTATTACTGTTATTATTAATTTGTGACAGAACTTCAGGCTCCTGTATATATATATAGTGGGGTTTTTTGGAAAGACAAAAAATGCTGAAGAATCGTTAAATATAAATTCTGAATCAGAGTGGTAAAAAATCTGTCAAAAATAAACAAAGTAAAATATTGGGACGACCTTTAGGATAATTACCGAAACATCTCTGTACCGAACTCAATCGACCGATTACCGAAACATTTTCCCTACAGGTTACACTACTGATCATGATCGATTATAACCAGATAACGTCAAACTCATGCTAGAAAATCTTAATGATTATATAACAGCGGTCAACGCATATCAGTGCTACGTATATGAACCTAGATTCGTTATATTACATTAACCTATTTTGATTACGTTATATAGAACAACCTTGAGCATCCTTATTCTTGCTCATTTTCGCCAATCGAAGTAAACAGGCTTTCGTAAGATGGCGGGAAATCCTCCAATGCAGAAGAAGTCTTTGTAGGGGAGCTAACTCAGTAAGGTACGGAGTTTCGGGCCGGTATTCATGAAACCGTTCTCATGCTCAAGCATGGATTTTGTGCTCAAACCAACTTTCTTGTAGCTCACTTCACTCATGTCAAACGATCAAATAGTCCAATGAAAACATTGAAAACAGTATTCTGCTTTAAGTCTCTTCAAAGTTTTTTCAAATCATTGACAAAATAAAGATTTTATTATCAAGATATAACCGCAACAAGAAATTAGACTTGAACACAAAATCCATGCTTGAGCATGAGAACGGTTTCATGAATGCAGACCCTGATTTCTGCTGTGCCTATGTTTACAGAGGGTCGAACGTCCGAGGTGCGTAGCGTCCGAGGAGGGGAGGGCATGGGAGACTGAAAAAAAGGAACTCTACCAGGCCCTAGAAGCAATCTTCCCTGTTATTGGAACTCCTTTGGTCTGATTATTTACAACCCGACTTTGTATATGAATAATATCACATTTTGTTCTTCAAGCAGTTTTTAATTTACATAAACCTTCGATATTTTTCAAAGTGTATAGACCACGGAATTAGATTGCTATCTTAGTCCAATATATAATACATTCATAGACAAAACTTAACACTATTCAACTCGACTGATTAAAACTTTGAAGATTTTTGTACTTCTTTCCTTTTTTATGATTGATGCAGACGGTCTATTTTAACAATAAAACAAAAGAAATTAATTAAAATACACTGTATATGAATAAAAAAATCTTCTTGAAAGCCACTTTTTTTTAATATTAATGAGGTTGAGTTCAGCGCGTGCTGAAACGTGGAGTGTTGGTTGGTTTAGCCACGGACTAACGTCAAGCTCATTAATATTGAAAAAAGTGGCAGGCTGACTGCGAAAAACTTTGAAAATCTGAAATGGCGTGGGTTTTTTCCGGGAGGAAACGGAGTTCATGTCCGCGGAAGGAGAAAATATTTTACGTGCATTTATGATGTTTTTAAAAGAAATGTTATCCATCTTACCAACGGTATTAAGCATTTTCCCTTAGAACAACTGGAAATGTTGTTTTTGATGCAAGAAAGTTAGGTGGGGTCGACATTTCGACATCGAGAGCTTTCCTCCTTTCTCCTATATATGGTCGTTGGGTGTCATTTTTACCGAAAGTCGATCTAAACCCCTAAAACATGTTAAATTACTCTAAACACCTTAGCTTAGGTCCAAATATAGCTGTAACAAATTATCAGGTCCCTGTGCTATATGTTTGCTGCGCCACTGGAATCAAATTATCCAATTAACCCTCATTCAGAAAGCAAAGTTAAAATATCATAGAATTTTATAATGAATGAACGAGTAAAACAACAGTAAAGATATAGAGAATAGTGAATATTATTTTTATAACGTTTCTTCATGTGTCGGTGTAGTTGAAAAAGAATCCCGAGGAAAAAGGAATACTATAAAATGGTCGTGGGTCCATATCAACGTTGAAAATATCGATCCTAGAACTTTAAGTCATATTTTTTTCATAATGAAATGTCAAACATATTCACATCAATATTATTTGAAATACAATGTGGTGAACATAAAATAAGCCTATACATAAGACGCTGTATGATCGTACTTCAACTCAAGATCTTTCCAGAATTTGTCGAAGTTTTTTTCTCAAAGTCAAATACGTTACGAGATGAAATAGCATCTTGTGGGAGACTATTCCAGATATCAATTAACCTTTGAGTAAGGTAATGGTTTCTAATATTTAAATGACAATATTGTTTGAGTATTGTTTTACTGTGTCCACGATTTTTTTCTTGAGCGGCGAGATCGAACAATCCCTCCACCAAATTCGGATCATATAGCTCATTCATAAACTTGAACACGTTGATCATATCTCCGCTCAAGCGTCTGTATGTTAGAACTGGAAGTTTAAATTGGCGTAGTCTCTCGCTGTAGATAATAGTCTTAAACCCGGGGAGTATTTTTTTAGATCTTCTTTGAACGTTCTCAATCCTTTCGATGTCCAAATTTTGGGTGGACTCCAAACACTTAGTTTAAACAGTATTTTATTCAATATATGGCAGTGACAAAATAATACAAAATCAACAAAGAGGATTCGAAAACAAGTAATAAGTACTTCTATTAATTCGTCTCCTTATTAATAAACCTGGCAGTAGGACGGCACTTTTACATATATTTTGATAGTATAACTGACAAAGAGAAGAAGAAGAAATCAGCGAGGGAAGGGTGGAAGGGGTGCATCAGGAAATGAAAGAAAGTGGTTATGAAGAGAATAACGAGAATAACTGCATTACTTAATTGAATCAGGTTGGAATGTGATTCATTAAAAGGTAACCCTAATGAGCTCTATATAAGGATGCGTTAATTACATTGGACATCTTTAAATTGCCTTACGTTGATTCCAATCAAAAAGTATACTGATATCCTGCAAAATGCAAGAGTGTTGTAGTCTATATTAATTCCAGTATCAACAAAACTCATTTAGTCTAAATATCGTACTGGCATGTCACAAGTGTTGTCGAACAACATAGGTTTCGAAGTTAATGTACATTGTTTAAACAAACGCAATAATTACATAAAAATAAAATAAAATAAATAAATCTTTCATTAAAATCGTTTCGACTTACAGATAAATTTTTGGACAGAGTCAAACATATTTAAGTTATATTGATCTGGCGATTTAAATTATTCCCATGCGGAAGATTTCTAAAACATTGTAATCTTAATTGTTCGAAGTTAGGACAAAAGAGGAGAAAGTGTTCAATAGTTTCAGCAGAACGTAAGTTACGTAAAAATAATTGATTTTTGAGGGAACTACAGTTCATCCTCAGTCGAGCGTGGTGAATTTGGCCAAATCTACTTTTGCAGTAGTAGTAATAGGATGGAACACGATTATTGTGATGATAGTCGACATTCACGGACTTCTTAAGGTTAGTGAGTGATGGGTTATGCTTAACGTCGTCCGGAAGAGCATTCTATAAGTCAACAGAGGAAGGTAGAAAATAAACTTTATAGAGTTTAGTACGACATCTTATTTGAGAGAATTTATTCGCGTTTCTAGTATCGTGAGAATGAATGTCAGAATGACAAGCGGGGAGGATGTTAGTTAAATAGGAGGGACACTAACCATGAACAATCTTATGAAGTTGTGTTATTTTATGTTTTCGTCTTCTTTCAATAAGAGGGTCCCAACTAGTTTCTAAATACAATCTCTCATGACTTGTTAATTTAGTAGCCCCAGTTACATCCTGGCTGTTTCGAGTTGAATATTTTCAAACAGTTGGCTTTGGCCTATCGTTGTATTGTCCCATATCACGTCACCACATTCTAACAAAGGTCGAAAAAAAGTAAGATAAATAGTTTGAAGCGTTTTTCTGTCAATAGTAAATTTCAGTTTTCTTAAAAGGCCTATTTTTTTTAAGCTTTGTTAATTATATACTGAACATGATCAGTCCACCCTCCATTAGACGAAATAAAGACACTAGGGTGTTTGTGGCATGTTACCACTGTTAGTGGGTTGTTGTTCATAGACAAAGGCGGATGAAGTGGTTTGTCATTTTTAGCTCACCTGGCCCGAAGGGCCAAGTGAGCTTATTACCCCTTTGAGAAAAATCTAGGAATCTGATTGGTTAAAAACTACAGTGTACCAAACCGCATTCGTAAATCTCAGGGGGTATACGGTCATGTCACGTGATTCTCAGCAGTAATACGGTGGAATCACGTGATTTTACAAGGGATATACGGGTCACGTGTCTTTGTATCCTGCGACCGGGCATCGGGAGACAATTCGCATTCGTCGTCTGCTTCGCTGTTTACAAAATGGCAAAACGTTTCACTTTGCATACTGATGAGGAAATACTCGCCAAAAGGGCGAACTATGTGCCACATAACACACAAAAGTCGAACAGACGAGCGGCAAACATGCTAAGGACGTATTTAAAAGAAAAGAATCAAGAAGAACAGTTCGAGGAATTTGATAAAACGAAACTAAATGAGGTACTGTGCCTGTTATTTTTCTTTGCTTTTATTATAAAAGACTCAAAGGGGTTATAAATCCGTGTAACTAATATTATCCCATGCCGCAGCGTCCGTCGTCCGTCAACATTTTCCTTTAAAACACTACTTGTCCTGAACGGCTCAGAGGATTTTGACCAAATTTGGTCTGGAGCATCATTGGCCAAAGGGTTCTCAGTTTTGTATAAACGGAGGGTATGGTCCCCGTGGGGGCAAAGGGGCGGGGCCAAATAAGGGGGAAAATAGGTAAATCTTTAAAAAAATCTTCTTCTTCTCAACCAATAGAAGGATTTTGACCCAATTTGTCCTAGAGCATCTTTGGACAAAGGAGACTCGAGTTTGTATAAACGGAGGATGTGGCCCCTCTGTGAGCATAGGGGTGGGCCCAATAGGGGAAATAGAGGAATTTTTTTTCTCCTACTATACAAGTGAAGGGATTTAAACCAAACGCAGTCTGAAGCATGCTTAGGGACAAAAGAATCAATTTTGTTTAAACTGAGTGTGTGGACCCCCTCTTTGGGGCAGATGAGTTGGGCCCATTAGGGGAAATAGAGGAAAACATTAAAGATCCTTCTCCTTCTGTACCGTTGAAGGGATTTAACCTAACCAAACTTGTTCTAGAGAATCTTTGGGCAAAGGGAATTTAATATTTATTAATGGAAGATGTGCCCCAACCAGGCAGGAGCAGGGCCCAATAGGGGAAATAGAGGAAAATATTTTCATTTTCCCTTCTGTACAAATGAAGGGATTTAAACCAAATGTGGTCTAAAGCATGCTTAGGGGAAAAAAACCTCAATTTGATTAATTTGTATAAAAAGGTGCATGTGAGGCCCAATAGGGGAAATAGAGGAAAATTGGGACATAACATGGAAACTCATTTTCTTGTTGTCTTTCCCACCAAAAGAGATTTATGTGTAGTTCTTCTTGCAACTTTGTTTCTTTTACTCCTTTGATAAACCTGAATGGTACTCAGCAGGTT